TGATCCTCAGATCTCAGCCTCCTGAGTAGCTAGGATTACAGGTGTGAGCCACCCAGTTCCATGATCAATATTTTTAATCCACATATATCAACATTTAAATTTGTTTCCTCTTCCTAATGAATTGTTTTATTACTCTGAAGTGATATAATCTATCTTTAGTAATATGCTTGCTATAAATTTCACTTTGTGGAAATTAGCAACATTCCTAAATATTTCATTATTTGCATTATAGTTTTGGGAACTTTCGTGTATTCAATATCTTCTTTCTAGAGTTTCTCTTATTTCTTTTCTTAATATATATTGTTTATTGTAAAGATACTGTACAGGGGGGTTATAGTTACATGGGCAAGGTAATGAGTCCATTTCCTAGTGAGCATTGTAAAGGAGGCTGTAGAATTTCCCTTCTAAAAGGATACTGTATATACTGTTTTTCATTCTGATTGATTTTATATAGAAATGATTAGTTTGTATGTAAAATTACATTGTTTACATATGATCTACTTGAGTTTATTATAATTAGAATGTATGAAACTAAGCTATCATCTATGTGCTTCCTGCTTGTCTAACTTTCTGTTTTGCTTTGCTTTCTTTTTTTCTTGTTTTGTGGACTTCTTTTAGTTTGTCTGAGCACTAGTTTTATACTATTTCTTATAATTTTGAAACCACATATTCTGAATAATTGGGAATTTGTTTGGTAAATATGACATATATTTGTGGCTTATCAAAGTTTAATGTTTACTTACTATGAGTTTATTATCTATATTGATTTTATTATTTTATTATCTATATTGATTTTATTTATCTGAAAGTTACAAAAATTTGTTACCACTTCATACAAACATCATAAACTGGACTACTCTCATGTCAGTCTTTCACTACATCATATGTTAACTGTGTGTTCTATACCTAAAAAGCACTATTGAATATTTCCTTTCCAAATATCTGTTCTTTTTTGCTGATTCCTTTCATTATACTGTTTGCCTGAAAATGACTTAACTGCCCCCTAGATTTGTATGGGGCATTTCCAATACATGTAAGTTACTTTTAATTAATTATCTATTTTTATATCTTTATTGTAAAGGTGATGAACAGGGGTTACAGTTTTAATTGTTTTTAGTAACTATTTTCAGTTAAAATTAGCCATTTTTTCCAATTGTATCAAAGAAGAATTAAACCCACTGTTGCTGTGCTTTCCCACTGCAAAAAGAGTATATTATAACAAAGACAAAGGAAAGAAATCAAAATAAAATAATACTACAGTATGTTGACCTGTGTTTCCTATTTCAGCTGTATCTCCCTCTCCCCACCTTCTTTCTTTTCTCTCTCCCCCTCCTTTCTTACTTACTCTTTTCCTCTCTCTTCATTATCATGTGACAGCAGGCATGTGATATTCAGACAAGGTCACGGGCACATCAGGGGAACATGCCACGTCAGGGGCCTTTGCAGGACATCCTGCATGATGGGTTTAGGGAGAAGACCCCAGCCCACGATGTTCCATTGCCAGTCTGTCACACCACTGCGGCCATGGAGGCAGGGAAATGTGGGTTGCTAAATTCACTCTCTTCTTCAATGTGAAATTATATACAAGTGGGTATGAAAATCACAAATGTTAAGTCAGTGAGCAAAGGGAAGGCAATGTTTAACATATTATTCAAGTAATTTTTTGTCAGTCATGGTCTAGTCCACTCATTTTAACATGGCATATGTTTATTTTTTTTGCTTGCTTATACCTTCAGTCATGTCTCTTCTGTCTTCAAAAAATGAATCATTATTAAACAGTCTCTGAAATATTCTGACTTCAAATGTCCTTTCTAGCTATTATTTGTATACCTATAAGTATACTTTATATTTTTTCAGCCATGTAGTTTGCTGAAAACATATAGAACTTGTTTTATGTGTATTTCAGCTTTCAAATGTGTTTTTATATAAGATAAACCACACACACACACACACACACACACACACACACACACACACACACACAATTTTTCTCTGCCTCAGATGACTTTGAACCAAAAATCTCTGGATTTCAACCTCTTGAGTAGCTAATATAACAGGCATGAACCAATGAATCATCACAGCCTGGCTTATTCAGTACTATTTTGTGTATTTGTCTTATTATTCTTTTGCACTTATTAATAGTGGATAAGCCATTCATCCATTGACTCAGATTATGACAAGTGAAGAAAAGGTTACATCTGTGGATTTATGCCATGTATATCTACTTTGGAATAAGAAAAACTGAGAGCTCAAACTGGTATGCATCATGCCTTCTCTGACATTAATGTGACTTTCACATTTTTTACTGCTATGTCCTGTCTCTTTTCAACATTTGTGTAGCACTTTACATATCAGACTACTTTGTGATCATGAGTACTTGTGAGTGAGAGTTGCTTACAAGAAAAAAAGATGAAATTAAAATACAATGACAGCAAAGTGAAAGAAAAAACTAGATGATTTATAATGTAGCAGCACATGGATTTCCCAGCAGTTAAAACAAGGTAGTATGAAGCATTACCTGATTTCCTAAATGCCTTGTTGAACACTTATTACAGGACTATTAAACAAGCAATAAACGTTGGCTTCTCCTTCCTTAAGCTTACAGAGTTGAATGGCATTTGTATCTGCATATGTATTTATTTACTGGAAATACTAGGTTTTGAACTCAGTTTCATGCATACGAGGCTTGTTTGCTTGGTTGGTGTTATACTACATGATTCTCACACCTTCAATCCAGCATTTTCCTAGTTATTCTAGAGATGGAGTTTCACACACTGTTTTGACCAGGCTGGTTTCAAAATGTAATTTGCCAGATCTCAGCCTCCTGAGTAGCTAGGCTTACAGGAGGCACAGGTGCTAGGCTTCCCTTTTATTTAACTCAAGAACTGAATTGTCAAACTCTGTCAGTGTTTCTGCTCAAGTGTTTCCTGGAAATAGATTTTATGAGAGCATCCATATGATTTTAGGCCAATGTAAATGTGGTTTTTAAGTACAGAGAAAATCTTAACAATTTAAACTTTAACATATTGTTCTTAAAAATACCTTTTCTCATACATGTAGGATAAGACAACATTTCAAAGCATTCTAAATATTGCTTCAATAAAATCGTCAATATGAATAGAATGATTATACCTAGAAAGACTCTTGCAACACAGGAGAAAAAACAAAATCCATAGGGAAACAATGGATTTCTTTTGTCCCTTCATTTGTTCCTTTGGGTCAAAACTTTAGCTCTAACAGGGCAACACCGCACTAGCAAAACCATAGAGAATCATTTCTCTTGCCAAAGCCAGGCATAATCAGATCTCTCCTTACTGGGTGATGCCCCCAGGTAAGGATATAAGAGTATTTATACCTATTCAGGGACCACCAAAAAAAACCAAAACAAAACAAAAAAGCAAAAAACATGCATCTACCTTTATGGATACTACAGTGAGATAAAATTTCACATATGCTAAAAACACCCTAATTAAAATAGTAATATGACACTGAGTATTGAGAATGGATGTTGTAGAAGGACTTGTAAGCAATGAGTCAGAAGGTATACTGCACACCCATTTGAAAACACTTGTGTCACATGACTGTAATTCAAACATGAAGGAGATTTAGGCCAGAAGACAAGGTGCTAAAGGCCAAGCTGAGATGTGATTTTCCATCCCCCAAACTCAAAATCTAGACATCAGAAACAACCTTAGGCATTTTCTGGAAAAACTGATTGTGTATTCCTTAATTATATTCACTACTTAGAGCACCTATGTGCATAGATAATGACATTCTTCAAAACAGTTGTGATCTGTAAACAAGACATGTGTCCCTCACAACTGTTGGCTGTCTTACTTTTTGCTTCCATCCTTAGGTTTCAAATTAACATCTGAGCAACAAAGATACATGGGCTCAGTGGAGGCCATTGACATAAAGAAAACTTTGTACATTTACAAGTTGATGCATCTATTTCTACATATTTCTGAAATTCTGGGAGGGTTTCTTAAAAGCTCCAACATGTCATAGAACAGTTTTGGGAGAGGAGTCAACAAAGATGTGAATGATGGAGAATTTTTTTACACATATTAATAGAACACCCTATAATGATACGATATCAGTAATTAATGAAATGGCTAGGTGGCAGCATCTCATGCCTGTAATCCTAGCTACTGAGACTGAGATCTGAGGATAGTAGTTTGAAGACAGCTTAGGGGGATAAATCCAAGATTTATCTCCAACTAACCACCAAAATGCTAGAAGTGGAGCTCTAGTTCAAGTGGTAGAGCAACAGCCTAAGGGATACCATCCATGCCCTCAGTTCAAGCCTCAGTCCTAGCACACACAAAATCACAATTTAATGAAGTGAGGTTTATGGTATATATATATATTCAGACTACACCTTTGGAAGTAATCTGGAGAGTATATTTTATTAATAACACATAAAGAAATGATAAAATTATGAAAATAATGACAAAAGAAAAAGTTTGGAGATAATAAAATATAAGAGTAATTCCTGAAAATAGAGACCCAGCTCTACTATGCAATTTATTAGATTTACAATGACATCTATCTTATGCCTACAAATTACCATACAAGACACCAATGTCTGTGTTAACTCTTTTCACACTTGCATCCACCAACTATAAATAATTCAACTCTGCAATAAATAATTTACTCTTTTGAAATTTAGTTATGAATTAGTCCAGGATTTTTATTTTAGTATATTTAGTGTTGTTGCACTAAATTCTTAGATTTACATAACTGGAACAGATAGTTGAGATTTTTGCTAAAGAAAACCTATATGGGACATAATTCTTGAACTAATAGCATATTGAGACTCTAAAGTTAATTTTTTTCTAATCAGTGTTCCAGAAGGAGTTTCACAAAAGACATGAAATGATTCTTTCTTGGATGAACACCAAGCAGTTGATGGGATGCTAAGTACATATTAAGACATTTTGTGAAGGCCAGAAACCTTAATAGCTACATACGTAGTTACTCCTTGAAACACTACTTACATTGTGCTTAGTGAGGTTTGAAATATTAGTTGCTATTGCTTGTAGCCAGTCAATAGAGTCTTCTGTAGAGAGGCACTGAATAATTCCACTGCAGACACCATCCACAGCAACAACTTGAAAGGCGTTCTGCCTGCAGGTATGAAAGAAGAAAAAGAAATTCACACCTCATGCATTCATGTATGTAAACACATGACAATATCTGTGGAAAAGTTCTTCTTTCAATCCATATAAGCATCAGCCTCCAAACTCAAATGTTATCACTTCCTTTTATACAGCTTTCTGCTGTTAGATGAAACAACCTGCATAGACCTAGATATGAGATAATTTCAAACAAGTAGGAGGCATCCTTAGATTCAAGTAAATACAGACAACCATAGAAATGTGAGACATAGCATTAAATAGCAGTGCATACAAGAAATTTTGGAAGTATTATTTTCCCAACCTAATATGAAATTAAACACATTCTGTAATTTCAGCTACTGTCATCTTGGCATTTGCTAATGCATTTTCTGACTGATATTAGAATGATCACAAACACAAATATTCAGCATGATGTTTTAAAATTCACTTGACTTTCCCATACTGTAGCATCTTGTCAGTTCTTATCCATGGTGAACTCAGCCTATAGATCCTCTTAAAAAGGGCTGAAACCCAGGGGCTCCTGTGTGCTTTCTGTGTCTCAATGGTCACGTTTTCTTTTTCTTTTGTAGATTTTCTTTTTTATTGTAAAGGTGATGTACAGAAGGGTTACAGTTACACAAATAATGAGTATATTTCTTGTAGAACATTATTACCCCTGCCTTGTTTTCTCCTACTTCCTGTCCCATATTCCCCTGCTCTTAAGTTGAAAAGTTCATTTCCAACATGGTGTCTTCTGAGTATCAGTTTTGAATTGGTTCACCCTTTGTTATTTGTCTTACCATTTCTGTGATACCCCTTCTCATCCTCAAATTAGATAAACTTATATGCAAATCAGATAAATTTATATACAGTACAATACAAAGAGTACTGAAATAAAACAGTGACAACAGGGGGTAAACCAGAAAGGTGGGGGAACAAAAGATAAAAGAAATAACTGCATACAGTACACTAAGAAAAAAATCCAAAAACTTCTTGTTTTCATATTTAGATTAGTATCATTTTATAAGGCCATTTGTACATAGCATTGAGCTATTGTGATCCTCTGTTTGAACTATCCTAGATATATACCATTTACTACAAACAAGTAAACCAGGCATCCTATGTTTCTTTGGGTCTGGCTTACTTCACTTAATAAGATTTTTTCCAAGTCTTCCATTTCCTTAAGAATGAGGTTATGCCATTCTTTCTAATGGAAATATAGAATTCCAGCATGTATGTGAACCAAATTTTTTAAAATACTTTTATCCATTGAGAGGCATCTGGATTGATTCCATATCTTAGCTATGATAAATAAGCTGCAATGAACATAGCTGTGCTGGAAGCTTTAGTATGGCCTTTTTTGTGGTCATATGGGTAAATGCCCAGGAGTGGGATTGCTGAATCATAGGGAAGCACTAGGTTTAGTCTTTTGAGGAATCTCCATACTGCATTCCAGAGTGGTTAAACAAATTTACATTCCCACCAAAAATGTAATAGCATTCCCTTTTAGCCACATCCCTTCCAACATCAGTTATTATTAGTTTTCTTGATAATGGCCCCTCTAACTGGGGTGAGGTGGAATCTTAATGTAGTTTTTATTTGCACTTCTTTTATGGGAAGAGATGTTGAACATTTCTTTCTGTGTCTATTGGTCATTTTTATTTCTTCTTCAGAGAAGTCTCTCTTTAAGTCTTTAGTGTAGAAAATTGAGATTGGATCCTTATATACTGCCCTGTACCAGAATCAACTCCAAATGGATCAAAGACCTCGATGCAAAATCAGATACCCTGAAAAAACTACAGGAAGGAATAGGGGAAACACTAGGGCTCCTTGGCACAAATTGAAACATTCTCAATAAAGACCCAGAAACAAAACAAATCAAAGAAAGGTTGGATAAATGGCATTTCATTAAACTGCAGAGGTTCTGCATGGCAAAGGACATAGCTAGCAAGATCAATAGAAAGTCCACATATTAGGAGAAGATCTTCACGAGCTATAAAATAGACAAGGGCTATATCTAAAACATACTTAGAGCTCAAAAAATTACCCTCTCTTTTGTGGCTGGCAAGGTGGCTCAGTGGTAGAGTGATTGCCTTGCATGCATGAGGCCCTGGGTTCAATTCCTCAGCACCACATTAGCAGAAAAAGCCAGAAGTGGCACTGTGACTCAAGTGGTAGAGTACTGGCCTTGAGCTGAAGAGCTGAGGGACAGCGCCCAGGCCCAGAGTTCAAGCCCCACAACCAACACCACCACCAACAACAAAATTATCTTCCCAAAAAACAAATCCTCAAAGAAACAACCACCCCATTAATAATTGGGCTAATAACTTAAATGATAATTTTTTTATGTGTGTCACAGTTGAAAATTTCAAGAAATCCTATCTTTAGAAATTGTAATGACCAGTCCAAGTACCTTCATGATTTTGATTTGCATTTATGTTGACTACAGAATATTAAATAACATTCCCTACATTGTTTACAAAAGAACTACAGTTTGTTGCCCTCAAAATCTTCAATGATTTATTACATTTTGTCCTGTATCAAGTTCTTGCATTGTTCAAGTATAAATCTAATAGAAATAGGTAACACCCAGAGAAGAGAGGAAGATGGCAGAGGAGAGGCTGGAGGCTAAGCAAGCTCTTCCATAGGAACCAATATTAGTATTCCAGTGGAAAATCTAAAGCTAGAAAGACACACCAAGTGTGTTATCTTAGTCCAGAGAATTTGGCCAGAGAGGAAACTTAGGCAACTTAGTTAAAGACACAGATTCAAGCAACCCCGGTTTGGGTCTGCTGCAGGTGGTGGGGGCTGCTACTGGTCGCCATATTCAAAACAGAGAGCCCAGGACAAAGGCACCAGAGTGAATTACTCACGGCCAGCAAGAACCAACAAGGAGCAGAAATCTTCATCCGGCCTACCACAGATAGTCACAGACTGTGGACATGGACGACAATTCGTGAGTACCCCAAGACATCCTCACTCCTTCTCACAAAGCAGTGGTGTGAAGGTAGCCCCTTCCCCACCACCAGAGAAAAACTCCAACTTTGCTACTGACCCAGACCAGGCCGGAGCAGCTAGCACAATTTTGACCTGTGCCAGGGCTCAACTCCACCCTTGGGGAGAATTGCCTCACCCAAGCAGAGGCAGCTCTGCAAGGGCAGGGCAGACTCTCCTTAGCTGGTAAACAGAGCCAGAGGCTACCCTTCCCAGCTGCTGCACTGGAAGCAACTCCAGCCCTTGAGCAATTGGAAACTTGGTACACAGAAATCCTGAGATAGATTCCAGGCTTGGCTGATTGAGTCTCTCAGGAGCTAGCCCCTCAGGGTAAAGCTGACAGGCCATAGCCCAACCTATAACTTAGCACCCCTCACAGCAACTCAAAGTTAGAGGAAACAGCCACTTCACCCTTTTGTGATACTCAAAGTAGATCACCCTCCCACTGAACTAGCCTAGGAGGAGAGCCCTCCCAGTGAGGCAGAGCTTCCTTCCCCCTGCTCAAATAAACTGATTTAAGAAAACAACCAAGCCACAAGACAACCAAACACCACAAGCAAACCAAAGACTCTACCACCAAGAGACTGGCTACAGACACAGGGGAGAGGCAAGGGTCACACTTGCCCTCCCCACACCCCAATTTTTTTTTTGAAAAACTTTTTCTACCTAATTTTTTTAAACTGTTGTCTATTTTCCTCATTTTTATTTTATTTTTTTTTGTTTTTGATATTGTTGTTGTTTCTTTTTTTTGATATTCTCTTTATACTCTTTACCCTTTTGGTCCTTGTAGGTTATTTTTGTTGTTGTTGTTGTTTTGTATTATTTATTGCTGTTCAGTTCATTCCAAGATATATATCTTTCTTTGATTATTAGTCCTTACCCTTCATTGTGTGCATACTTAATTCAGATATTAATCACCTGATTCCCAACCTCCCAGCCTTAACTCCATTAATTGTAGAATTATTTCTTTATACTTACATTGTTTTTAAGTGTTTCATTTTTAATCTTTCCTTTTTCTTTATCTCTCTTCTTTCCTGCTATCCCTCCCTTTGCCTCTATACATTCTTCCAATCTTATTTTTTCCTTACAATTCTCCCTAAACCTATATTTCTGGTTTGCTGTCCCCTTCCTTAATTTTTTTTAGTCTATTGATCCCTAGCTGTTTGTTGTTGAACTAGATTGTATCTTTTGAACTATATTGAATCTGTACACATTTTGAGTAGATCAAACAATCTGTGCAACTACAGGGCTCTGGCTGATGCTTGCCTTAAAATAGTGTTCTAGCTAAGAATTGGTTTTGCTATCATACCCAAATGGGCAGAACAAGCAGAAACACAAGAAAACTGGCAAGTCCAGATATTTCAACTCCAGCTCATGACAATCAGGCAACAGAGCAGTCAATGAATAACCCAGAGGGGAGTTCCCAAAATTCTCTACAAACAATACTGATAAACATGCTGAGCTTATCATGCTCACTGTGAGCATGATAAGAAAATGCATGAGTGTGATGAAACTAGCTAAAGATTAATACAGAAATATCATATGGTGAGTGTGATGAAGCTAATCTGAGATTAATAGAGGAATTGCGTGAGTGGGATGAGATTAGACAAAGAATAATTGAGGCATTTATGAAATCCACAAACAGACAGCTGGAGCAATCCAGGGAGGCCACAAAGGGAATGCTGAATGAAGCCTAACAGAAGGAAAGGGAGTCCAATGAAACCATAACCAATCAACTAAGGGATTTGAGAATGAACACTGAAAACCAAATTTAGGAAGTAAAGAAGTCAATACAAGATCTAAAACAAAGTTCCAACAAAGAATTTGAAGCCAACAAACCTGACCAATTAGAAGAAAAAGAAATAAAAATATAGAAAGTCTTGACAGTAGGTTAGACCATGCAGAAGATCGAATCTCAGGTATTGAAGACAGCCTAGATATTATAGAGAAAGAACAGACAACTATTCAAGATAATTAAGTCAAGAAGATCCTGGAATGATGTATGCCAAATGCTAA